ATTCACTCAAGAAGTTTCGCCTAAGTTCACAACTTGGAGTATCAATTTGCGAAATTTGGCACAACTATTCTTGCCCTTGTGTCTTCACTTCTGCATGGAATGATAATGATTTGAACGTTGCGTTGCGCACCTTTTACTTTGACATGTTTTTGACATGCAGATGATGCTGAGGGTGACAGAGATACCGCTGAGCCTTCTGACCATAACGAAGAAGGAGGTGATGCTTTCATGGAATCATATCCAGATGCATGATATGTATGTGGCCAAGCTACAGATTTTGACTCATTTGTTCTTCGTGAGGGTTTTTTTTTTTTTTTTTTTAAGCCTTCAGAACCTTGCAATCATAGCTGCTATTCTTTTCAGAGTTTGCTTTTTGGTTCAATAAATATGCAGGGAGCATCTAATGCCACTGAAGATATGGAGGAAGAATTCAATCCCAGCAGATGAGATGTCAAGTATCAACCTCGTCAATAGTTGTTGATTGAGAGAGACTCTCGATTCGATAGCTGTTGATTGAGGGAAACTCAATCATGGGATAATTTAATCACTCTCAATTAAGGCATTTGAGAATGTTTCCTGCAACTTCTTCGGTTTATAAGCGAGGTTCAAAGTCATTTGGGTTTTCGTGTTGTTCAGGGGAACAGTCTATAGTTACTGACAACAATCCTATGTTAGTGTATATGTTGTCCTCCGTCTAATACTCAACTAATGGCACTCAAAGAAGCTAACAAGGGATGTTTTTGTTTCTATCGTACATCTCCAGAATCCGGACAACAGATTTACTTATTTGTGTTTATTATGTGGTCTTTTGTTTTTCAAGAAATTCATAATGATCGGAGTAATACAACCAATAAATTAACTTATAAATGATGAGAATTATAATTCAATAATATTATTATAAATAAACTCATGTCTTACTCTTGAGCTTTCAACTTTGACCATTATTTGAATCGCTATTTTTTAAGTTTTTGTATACAAAATTTATTATTATAATTTGATGTCTATGATCTTAAAAAGTAATTGAGAAAATGTGATAACGGAAAGGGAAAATGACATGTTTCATCCCTTACATTTCGTAAAAATATTCTTGTCGTTCCTCATATTTAAAACGAAACAAATTGGTCCTCCACATTTAAAAATCCAAGCTTTTATATTTTAGAAATAAACTCTCAGTTGTGAATCAAACCATCTAACAACCCGGTTACAAATTTTGGAGGTAGAATTGGTAGATCACTCGCAAAAACATATTTCCAACAAATAAATTAAAGCACTTAAAAAATTTTAATTAAAATCCATTTGTTTCTTCAAAAAAATGAAATAGTGCTAAAGCTCTCAAGTACTAAACCCTTAGACACATTCCTTCCTCAATTTTGTTGTGCAACAAAATTGAGGAAGGAAGGAATGTGTCTAAGGGTTTAGTGCTTGAGAGTTTTAGCACTCTTTCGTTCTTTTGAAGAAACAAATGGGTTTTAATTAAGATTTTTTAATTATTTTAATTTATTTGTTGAAAATATATTTTTGTAAGCACTCTATCAATTTTATCCCCAAAATTCGTAACCGGGTTGTTAGATAGTTTGATTCACAACTGAGAGTTTTTTTCTAGGATGTAAAAGCTTGGGTTTTTAAATGTAGAAGACCAATTTGCTTCGTTTTAAATATAAGGAACGAAAATAATATTTTTACGAAATGTGAGAGATGAAACATGTCATTTCTCTAACGGAAAATGATAAAGTTTTTTTTGGTAAAAAAAACTATAATCCAGTCTCATCCGCTATTATGTGGTCTTGGAAAGGCCTAAAGTTTGGGACAATTTTTTATCGGGAAAATCGTCCAAAACGTCTTTCACATTTTGTAAAATGACTTTTTTCGTCCCTCACTTTTAAAAGTGTAATTTTATGTCCCTTACATATTCACATCGGTCAAATTTAGTCCCTAACTAGGTTTTCGATTATTTTTTGGTCAGAATCCATCACGTGCAAGGCACGTGATCATTTTTTAAGGGTAAATTTGTCAAATTATATTTTACATAATCTGATCTATAGTCCTCCACATTTTATAAAATAAATTTTTTCGTCTCTCACATTTTATAAAATAATTTTTTCATCCCTCACATTTCACAAAATGAATTTCTCCATCTCTCACATTTCAAAAAATGAATATTTTCATCCCTTACTAATTATGTATGTGAGGGAAACTCTAAAAAAATATATATATGTGTGAATACATTTTGTTTAAATACATGTATATGTCTATTTGATTTTGGTTAATAATACGAATAGCATAAATATATGTATGTGTCTATTTGATTTCACTTAACAATATGAATACCATATATTATACGTGATCATTTGATTTTATCTGGTATTAGCTAGTAAATAATCTTGCATTCATTGTCAAGTTGGCCAATAAAGCTATTTTCAGTCAAAATACAATAAGAATATGCAAATTAAGGTTCTATTGGTAAATATTAGTCATAATCATACAAAAAGAAAAGATAACCCGCAGGTTAGGCCCAATTATATACATGTGTTTATGCTATTATTATTAATCAAAATCAAATAAACATATACATGTGTTTCAAAAAATGTATTCATACACATAATTAGTGAGAAATGAAAAATTCATTTTTTGAAATGTGAGGGATGGAGAAATTCGTTTTGTGAAATGTGAGGGATGAAAAAATTCATTTTATAAAATGTGATGGACGAAAAAATTTATTTTATAAAATGTGGAGGACTATAGATCAGATTATGTAAAATATAATTTGATAAATTTACCCTTAAAAAATGATCACGTGCCTTACACATGACGGATTCCGGCCAAAAAATAATCAGAAACCCAGTTAGGGACTAAATTTGTCTGATGTGAATATATAAATAATATAAAATTACACTTTTAAAAGTGAGGAACGAAAAAAATTTTTTTATAAAATATGAAGGACGTTTTGAACGATTTTCCTTTTTTACCGTACAAGAAAGCAAATCACTTAAATATTGCACCAATTATAGCTGGAATGCGCTTGTATCAACTCAAGCCCACTGTTTCTGAAAGTATGAAATATCTCATTACAGTTTCTTAATTGGATGTCTCTCTGTTAAGCCCGTAGACAATAATGACATCTAACCTATAACGTAAAGCCCTGTACTTGACTTGGACTATTGACAAAAGCCGAGGTAAAAATCTGCGTCTCCAAAACAGTACTGGGGCTACAAAAGCCAAAATTATAATGGCTTTATTTGAATTAGCTGTTATTTAGGATGTTTTTCAAAAAATTTACTATGATCGTGTGTATGAAAAACTTTTATCTAATTTTTAAAAGCATTTTAGGGATTTTTTAAATATATTTTATGATATTTTATAATTTATCACTTTTTAAAGTATTTTAAAAAAAATTTTACACCACCACCAACCCTTTCTCATCCTCCTCACTTTTTCCTCCCCTTCCTCCTCTCTTCTATCTCCACCTCTCCCTTCCCGCTGCCCCAAAACGCCTCTCCCTTTCGCAGGTAGTGATTGCGATTCCAATCACCACTCTAGCTGCGGCTTTCTTAGTCGCGGTCAATAGAGGGGAGAGGGGATTGAGGGAGAAGAAAAGAAAGGGAGAATAGAGGAATGAGAATGAGAGAGAAGAAAGGAGAGAGGAGGGAGGGTCGTAGATGTGGGGGGTGGTGGTGGTGGTAGTGTAGAGTGATGGGTGGTGGTGGTAGTGTAGAGTGATGGGTGGTGGTAATAGTAGTGGGTGGTGGGTAGTGTGTAGAAGAAGAAAGAGAGAATTTTTTTTTATTTTTTTTAAAGTTCTTGAGATGTGTTGTATTTTTTGAATTGTTTTTGAAGTTATTTTTAGAGTTTATTACTATAGATGTGAAACACAAAAACAATATTTCAAAAAAAAAATGCTAAATCCAAATGGAGCCAAAAGTTTGGCTTAGTGATGCCTCGAATATTGGTTAAAACAATTTCTAGTGAAAATTATAGCTATTGAAAATTATGTTGTTAAAACAATATTGGTTTTTGTAACCCAATTCAAGCTCGATAAATACCAACCTGGAGTCTAAGCTTAAGCCAATTTAGTGAATTGTGAATTTGTGAGTCAAGTCCTAATACATATACACAAACATCTATATATATATATATATATACTAGGACTCGTATGGTGGGCTTGACCCTTTACATTTTTAATAAATTTCTTATTAATATTAGGGTAAAAAATAAAAAAGCTTCTTGTGGTAAATTTAATATACAGAAAAACCGTCCCGTGATTTCAAAACGTATAACACGACACCTCATACTTTGAACTAAATTGTAAAGATAACAAAATCCATTAAATTTAACGGAAATGGACAAAATGATCAAAATGTCCTGATATAATTATACAAAAGGTAGTTCAAAAAAATCATTTATTTTATTCTTTAGGTAGAAAGAATTGAGGGTTAAGGGTAGAATAGGTATATTTGCTAAAAATTAGGTATAAATTTTTTTTTTTTGCTTCCAATAAGTCATTTCCGTTAAATTTAACGGATTTCGTCACTTTTACAATTTAGTTCAAAGTATGAATTGTCATGTTGTATATTTTGAAATTACAGTGGATTTTTCTGTATATTAGACTTACCATAGGGTTTTTATTTTTTATTTTTACCGTTATTATTACAATTTCATATCTTTATTGGAATAAAATGTCTATCATATCCATTTAAAAAAGCAAAAAAAAGTATGAAGACAAGTCGAGTAATAGACATCCTAAATGGGAATCTAGAAATTGACACTTTTTAAATTTTTATTTGAATTCAACTGAAGTTAGAACTTGAATTTTACTAAACTCGAATTAGAATTCAACTTGAATTTTACTAAAGCTCGAATTAGAATTCAGCAAGTTTTACAGTGAAGCTCTCAAACTTGAATTTGCTAAAATTGATTCGAACTAATTAAATTAAAATAAAAAATAAACCCCACTCTACTCATTTGCAAGAAAAAGAAAGAAAAATGACTTGTTAATTAGATGGGATGGGATTCTCTGCAACAGACATATCTGCTCACCAACCGAACCCTCTGTTGCCCAAATGCCCAAATTCAACTCTTCAGTCTTCACACGCTTCTTGTCAACATAACCGCCCACTCCCACCCCCCGTCGTCTAAACGCCGAGCCCAGAAAGGAAGGGGAAAAAAGCAAAGCAGAAAGCGGGATTAATTTTGGTGGTGGGGTCAGTGAAGTGAAGATGTGCTACGGAGGCGAAAGGCTACCATCCAAAGAAGACTTCGATGTGGATGGTCCGACCCGGCCCACCGCCGCCGCAGCCCGATTGGCTGCCGTAAACGAGAACGAGGCGGTGGTGGAAAACCTGAGGGACAGGCTAGCTGAGACGGAGGCGCGGCTGGAGCGAGCCAGGGCTCGGGAAGCCGCGCTGAGCCGGCAGCTGGAAGAGATGAAGAGGTTCGTGTCGGTGATGGAAATCCTCGAGACTTATCTAAAGCGCCGGTATAGAGAGCAGCAAGACCAGCTCTGTCGCCTCTTTTCTCCGGTATCAGCTAAATCTTTATAATCCCAGTTATTGTATCGAAAAATAGGGAAAGAAAAAATAATAATAAAAGAGAGACCCTGTTAAGCGAAAAAGAGAAAGAGAGTAGCTTGGGTAATAAATATTTCTTTTTTTGTTTTTGTTTTTGTTTTTAATATTTTGGTTGGATGTATTATCAGTAATAGCGATGGATGATTGATGCGTGTTATTTTGTATAGTCAAAATTTGTAATTTCCCACTGCTTTATTTTTCTTTTGATTTTTATTCCAATGTCTCTGTATGGTTTATACATTGGTAATTGTCTCCCCATTTATTCAAGTCAATGTTTATGATTTCTGGATGCTTGCCAGGGTTGCTCATATCCTGTTAATTGGATGGGCATCGACAGAGAGCCACTTTGCTTGGTTGGGGAAGGGGGATTTTTATGAGAAAGATAGGAATTTTGGCCGTTTGAATGAGAGGTAAATGATACTTTTTATGAAAAGGCCGGTGCTTTGTTAGTGATTTTATTGAGTTCTTAGTGGTTGAATTGTTCTTTTCTGCTGGGTTAGGAGTAAGCAGAAGGGAGTTTTTGGTGGAAATCAGCTAATGTAAGTTCTTTGTTGTTGATACGCAGCTAAAACTTCGGTCTTCTCTACGTTTTCAGAGTAGCGTACCAGCACATAGTATGTCCTTTTCTGTGGAAGCCTGGAAATAGAAGTTTGTTTACTTGATGTTAGCTGCATTGTATGGTCTTTGACAAGAAAGCACTGTATGGATACTTGTTATTGTGTACTAGTTCTAGAATTTAGTGTTATTTTGTTTCATAGAAAGTTAATACTGGGATTTGTTTTAGGTGTCTCTGCCTTGCTCAGAATACCTCAACAGGTCACCTTAGTTGTGCCCAAGATCATGAAAGATATTGTTGTTCGCTGATTTGTTGTTGAGTTCTTTGTGCTGTCAGTAACGACTTGTGCATCGCTAATGGGGTTTCAGCACGCATTTTATGAGCGTAGACACTTATAAGACTGAAAAAGTTTGCTCCTTGGAAAAAAAAGTAGCTTGTTAATGTACTTAATGGCAGAAGTCTCTTAAATAAGATTGCAACTATTGCAGTAGACCCTGCCTCGTACAAGAAAAGGTCATGCACAAAAGTGATACCTTGGGAATAAAGATATTGGAAGCAACATTGCAAACAATACACTTTTTTCACTTATTTCTGACTGTAAGACTTCCTTTGATGCCTTTTAGTTTTAATATGTGGGTGCATTGATTTGTCCCTGTTAGGCAATGGGATGACTTTTTTTTGGCCTTAATATGACTTGTTGAGGTAGCTTTCCTGGCATGTTAAGCTTTTAGATGTGAGATTGTTGTTTATGGGATAAAGGTGCAGTGGATTAGAAATTTGCACACTTTGTAAGGTTTTCTTGTTTTTTATTAGGAATCGGCAGATGTCTTTACAATTTTGTTATCATCAACTTAGATAGCTCCAATAATAAGAAAATAGCTTACATCGTGAGTCTTTAAGGACACAGTTTTTTAGAACCAAACTTGACCAGTTTGGTGTTCTTTGAGTTTACATATTGATAGAATGGCTTTCCTCATTCGTTCTGTTGAGTTGAAGACATAGGGGAGCATCTTAAACCAAAGTTCCGAATGCGTTTCTCCACCCTGTTTTTCAGTGTTCCATCTGGTAAAAAGAAGGAAAATGTGCTGATTTTGGTAGTTCTGATCATTGACCTTGTGCAAAGATGAGAATATGTTGCATGAAGTGCTTTCATTTTATTTATAGAGACCATACCTAGTGGGATCTTGATCTTAGTTCTGTCAAATCATAGACTTTATGTTAGCAATACAGGGGAAGGACTAATAATGTAATCTCGATGGTGGTTTGTGAAATCACTTTAGATTAGTAGATGGATTGCTAAAGTAATAGCATGAATTGCATGATTGGACTCCCATCTAAGGAAAAACCTTTCTGGTCAAGACACTTAAATTCTCACATTCTTGCTTTAGTTGCTAAGTTTTTAATACCTTGTGGCCTTTGTGAGACCAGCCTCGTAATCTGATTGCGGTGGTATAACCTGAGACAAGATCAACGTCTTGCATGCATCTCATGGTATCCACAAAAGGTATGAACACCATTCTTGAGGCAAACATTGAGCCAGTCTGCTCAGGCAACGACATACTTAAATTGTATGTCGTGCTTTCAATTTAACTTTTTTCGACATCCTATGCTATCCTAATCTAAGGAAGGGGGTGACCCATCTGCGATTGAAAAATTGCACTTTACCATCCAAGTTGCACTTTACTAGCCTTCTTAGAGATTGAAAAACTACTCTGCTGGATACTTGGAGAGTTAGCAGCGGGTCCAATGGGCTTGGCCCCTGTCGAGGTTTCTATCCCACATCGGCTTTGAGGGGGTTGGGATTTGGGTAGTTAAGTCCTGAGAGCAATCCAAGAGTTGCCGGCTTTTGGGTTGACTTCTGAGATTAGGTTTAATTAGTCAAATTTCGTTTCTCGAAATAAGAAGTATACTTGGAGAGTTGGATAACATAAATAATACTACTATGTTGTCTGCGTTTTTACAGATTAGAAAATTTATTGTGATCTCATTTTCCTGGGCCATCTTACAAAGAAACCTCATTCGGCAACGTGTCAGAAAAGACCTGCCAAAGCTACCGAGGGAGTGGGTTTAAATTAACGTTTGAGCCAACATATTTTCATTAGGGAAAATCGTCCAAAACGTCCCTCATATTTTGTAAAATGACTTTTTTCGTCCCTTACTTTTAAAAGTATAATTTTATATCCCTTACATATTCACATCGGTCAAATTTAGTCCCTAACTAGGTTTCTGATCATTTTTTGGCCAGAATTCATCACGTGATCATTTTTTAAGGGTAAATTTGTCAAATTATATTTTACATAATCTGATCTATAGTCCTCCATATTTTATAAAACAAATTTTTTCGTCCCTCACATTTTATAAAATGATTTTTCATCCCTCACATTTCATAAAATAAATTTCTCCATCCCTCACATTTCAAAAAATGAATATTTTCATCCCTCACTAATTATGTATGTGAGGGAAACCCTAAAAAAAATGTGTGTGAATACATTTTGTTTAAATACAAGTATATGTCTATTTGATTTTGCTTAATAATCCGAATAGCATAAATATATGTATGTGTCTATTTGATTTCACTTAACAATACGAATACCATAAATTATACGTGATCATTTGATTTCATCTGGTATTAGCTAGTAAATAATCTTGCATTCATTGTCAAGTTGGCCAATAAAGCTATTTTCGATCAAAATACAATAAGAATATGCAAATTAAGATTCTATTGGTAAATATTAGTCATAATCATACAAAAAAAGAAGATAGCCCACAAGTTGAGCCCAATTACATACATGTGTTTATACTATTATTATTAAGCAAAATCAAATAGACATATATATGTGTTTAAAAAAATGTATTCACACACATAATTAGTGAGAAATGAAAAATTTATTTTGTGAAATGTGAGGGATGGAAAAATTTATTTTGTGAAATGTGAGGAATGAAAAAAATCATTTGATAAAATGTGAGGGACGAAAAAATTTATTTTATAAAATATGGAGGACTATAGATGAGATTATGTAAAATATAATTTGACAAATTTACCCTTCAAAAATGAACATGTGCCTTGCACATGATGGATTCCGGCCAAAAAATGATCGGAAACTTAGTTAGGGACTAAATTTGTCCAATGTGAATATGTAAGGGATATAAAATTACACTTTTAAAAGTGAGGGACGAAAAAAGTTATTTTACAAAATGTGAGGGACGTTTTGAACAATTTTCCCTTTTCATTATCTCTACTTTAAGTCTATCAGAACAGTAAGTGTGTGTGGAACGAGGATTATTTGAAATAATTATTGTAGCACTTTTTATATCGTGACGTATATATGAGATAAAAATGTAATTATTAGAAAAATAAAAAAGTGTGTTGAAAACTATATTTGTGATGTAACTAAATAATTTCTTACACACCACTTAGTTTTGGGTTTTTAATTTGTGTTATTTACGTTTCAACAAATTCATTTAACAAAAGAAAAAGTGAAATACTATAGTACCAATCAGTCATACTGTATAAAACCTAACACCAAATCTTGCTGTTTTTAGAGTGTAAGAAACCGACATTTCTGGGCACTATGATCGTGTCGGTGTTCGAATGGATGTCTAGAAAAGAAAATGGGGCATATTCCGTTGCTTTGCGGTCGGTAGAGAAAGGAATTAGTACTATGGTGAGTTGGTGACAAAAACTTTTTGTTTGGTCAATGAGCATAATCTCTGGTATCTTTATGCTTAAGTAAGTATTTCAGAGACCATAATTGAAATCAAGACGGTATCATTAAAGAGATTCAATTGAGTTCCCAGCTGGACATCCAATAACTGAAGATCTTATCAACAACTAAAGACTTCTCGACCTTTCTTCCTGTCATCAATATATCTTCTGCGGTTTCCACAGCATGTAAAACATATCTTCCAATTAATGACCAAAAATGAAGAATTTAAAAAAAAAAAAAAAAGGGGGAAGAAGAAAAAGAAGAGGAGGACGAAGAGAAGGGGAATCATACTTTATTCTGCTCATTCGACCGTACATGAAATTTTGCGCTTGCTCATGAATCACCTTTCCTTGAAGAGAAAATTAAAGGCCTTGATTGGATCAAGAATCAGTTCCATTAGGAGAAAGACCAAACCCTGCTGGTTATCTCGTCCAAAGTCTCCTTTTGTTGTCGCTGACTGTGCACGTCAAAGCATGGACTGTAAAAGCAGCAGCAAGAGCTTTGAGTCTAAGGAAACCTTTCCAAGAAGAAGAGAAAAAGCACATGATTGCTGTTTCGCTCTCATCAAATCAGCTTAACCTAAAAGAAAAAAAAAAGAGGCAAACTGTTTACTTATGAGGGCGTAAAATTATGTCAAATATTACTTTACTTGTGTTACAAACATAATTTTTAATCAATTTTTTTTCTTATTAAATTTTTTTATTTCACACACACATCACACATACAAAAATATTTTACAGTAATTAATTTAAATAATATTTTATCGAAACACATTGGTAATACTAATATATTCCAAATGTTGCAGAAGGGCATTTATGTAATTTGATATGCAAAAAGCTGTAAAGTCAGAAACTTTCGATAGGTGCCGGAGAGCGGCAAGCGGCGAAAAAGACAACAACCGATGAGAAGATGGATAGATGCCTTCACTCTCAACTATTCTTCACTCAGTAGCTCCCCACTCCCGTCAGCTGTCACCGTCAACCACGCCATCATGACTAACAACAATGACGCCTTCTTCACTCATAAATTCTTACTAATGTCTTCATTAACCACGCCTCTGTTCTTCCTTTACTTTTACTCTATATCTCTCTTCTTCTTATTCTTCTTCTCGCTAATGTACTAAAGGACCAATATTTTCATACTATTCTTCATTCTTTAGCTTGCTCCAAGTGCGACCCATTTGAGGAAAATAGATATGGAAGGTGGGTCGAGCTCAGAAACCGGTGAGAAGGTGGATAAACAAAAGGGTCTGAAGCTGGGGTCTGTTTTACCAAATGTTGAGCCCTTTATGCCAAGAAAGAATTTTTATGATCCCAGAGAGCTAAGATCTTGGGCTAAGAAGACTGGTTTTGTGTCTACTTTTTCTGGGGAGACTGATAGGGGAAGTGTGAGTGGGAGGAATGTTGAAAATGAGAGGGAGAAGTTGGATTTGGAAAAGGTTATTGAGAAAAAGGAATCTTTATCACCAAAGATTGAGATTGATCCTATTCTGGGGAGGACAAGGAATAGAGGAGTGGAAATTGAGCAGGATTTAAGGGTTGGAAATGGAAGGAATAGGAATGAAAGGGATGGAGAAATTAGAGATGAGAATCAGAGGAATAGAGCTGGTCTTGAGCCTAAAAATGAGGAGAGAAGAGATGGTTTAAATGGTGCTGGAAATGGTAAGGCCAATGTGGCTGTTGCTGGGAATGGGAATGGGAATGGGAATGGAGTTCAGCCAGCAGCTCAAGTTACTGAGCTGAAAAAAGAGGATGGAGAAGGGGATGGAGAAATGGGATTCCTGGGAAATCCTGATGGTGAAGATCCAAGTTATGGAGGATGGCATCGATCACCTAAAATGAAGTGTGGGCTAAGAGAAAATCCCGGTTTTGGTTAGTATGCTTTTGTCCTAGTATACAATCTATCTCTTGTAGCTTAATGAGCAGTTGCAGTGATTGATTGTTCCCAGTCACTCATTCTCTAATTTACTTTTTTATTTTTGAGTATTTACTGCCTTTGAGTTTGATATGGAGTTAACAACTTCGTCTTAACTTGGGATATCTCTATGACAAGCATGGCAGAAAGATAATAATTTGTGTAGCTTAAGATTCCTTTTATGCCAATTTTATTAGTCGACTCTGAGACTAAGCAGTGACTTCATAGACTGCAAGCCCTTTAGGGCATGCTCATTGCCTTTGCTTTAGCCATCTCTCCACAAATTTGTTTTTTCTCTAGAGCTGGGAATCAGTCACTTGACCGAAATCATTTAAGGATATGGCAAATAACAGTCAATAGTCGTCCAATTATCCTGAGTCTGCAATGTTCACCCTTCCTAGCAACAAATGGTTACCGTTCTGCTTAGTGCTTTGAGAAACCTAGTGATGCATCCTTTAGTTTGCTTGCCATTCTTGTCACCATTATTAATGCTATAAAAAAAAAACTGGTGATATTTCTTGATCTCTTTTGGTATTTCATTCTGAAACCTTTTTGATGGTAACATTGAAAATGCAGATCTGGTAGCTTTTACTCTAATTCAATGAGCATGGATTAGAAATTCTCCACTTGCATTGTCCTTGCTGACATTTATGGAAATTTTAACTAACTTCTCTTGTATAATTCTTCACTTCAACCTCAAACAGTACCACTTATATATTATGGGCTGCAACACTTCTTGTCGTTGGCTGGTTCACTCATATTCATTCCATTGATTATCGTACCTATTATGGGTGGATCTGACGTAAGAGTTTCTTTTTTTCCTTTTTGTTTTCAATATCATTTTCAAAACAGGTACTTGTATTAGCAGTTATCACTGACTTTTTTTCCTTTTTGGTTGAATGAATTACAGAAGGATACTGCCACTGTAATTTCCACAATGCTGCTAGTCTCTGGCATTACCACGATACTTAATTCATTCTTTGGAACGCGGCTCCCATTGGTTCAAGGGAGTTCATTTGTGTATCTTGCACCTGCATTAGCTATTATGAATTCTCGAGAATATCGAAACCTTACTGAACATGTAAGTCTATTCAAGCTTGAATTTGGTTAGAATATCCTCATGTAATTTAGATCCATGATTGACTTGTTTCGTCTGCTCTTTTAAGTCTACTTCTAGTATGGATATTGAATGTTTTATTTCTTGTGCACAGAGATTTAGGCACATAATGAGGGAAATACAAGGGGCCATAATTGTTGGTTCAATTTGTCAGAGCATCTTGGGTTTCAGTGGTTTGATGTCCTACCTTTTAAGGTAATCTAAGGTACTTCTAACAAATTGCAGTTAGAAGCAGTATTAGATTGTCCACCCCGATTTTCCGTAGTGCTACTCTGGCAACCATAGATTTATGATAACCACCAAGTAGATTATCACGCAAAGTATCTTATGTGTCCTTTTTCGGTGATCTATCAACTTTCCCAAAATAAAAGGAAGAAAATAAAAAACAAGTTTCCACATTTTTCTTCATTTGAGCTTAACTTGTTTTGGAGATCTCACAGGGTTAATTATTGTGACATTATATTAACCAAAAAATTCTTGCAGATTAATAAACCCAGTTGTGGTTGCACCAACTGTAGCTGCAGTGGGCTTAGCATTTTTTAGCTATGGCTTTCCCCAAGCTGGTTCTTGCGTGGAAATTAGTCTCCCCCAGATAGTCTTAGTTCTCATTTTTACCTTGGTAAGCAACCTCCTTAGATAAAGCTTTAGCTAAGCTAGATTTTTACCGTTTATGATGGTACATTTGAATTCTCCAAGTTCAATTCTGCTTAATTATTGTTTATGCCTCTTGAAAAAGAAGATATTGAAAGAGGAAAAAATTAAGTGAATTTCATCTCATTTTCATACACTAATGGTTGCAGTACCTTCGTGGGATATCCATTTTTGGACACAAGGTGTTTCGAATATATGCAGTAAGTATGTTCTCCTCAGGTGCTAAATAAATGTATGTAATCATTTACTCGTCTGATCCATGTGATCCACCTAATCCTATTCTTCTTGGCTCTATCATCTGGAAGAGGAATTAGTGTACTACAATTTTGCAAGATATACAAAAAAAAAAAAAACACTTGGATTAGTTTCATAAAGTTGCCTTTTGCTAATGTTATGATGGGTTTAGCAACTCTTCCCTCTGCTGAAGTGTTATTCTGTCATCTGAAATGCAGGTTCCCTTGAGTGCTATAATTATATGGGCATATGCTTTCTTTCTTACAGCTGGTGGAGCATATAATTTCAAAGGTTGTGACCCTGACATACCAAGTTCCAACATCCTAATAGATGCCTGCAGAAAGCATGCATACACAATGAAACATTGCAGAACAGATGTTTCGAATGCTATGAGAACTGCTGCTTGGGTTAGGATCCCTTATCCCCTGCAGTGGGGTATTCCTATCTTCCGTATGAGGACATCAATCATAATGGTCTTTGTGTCACTGGTTGCATCAGTTGACTCGGTAAATATTTTTTTTCTTGTAGACATACATCCAGTGCTATAATAATAACTTTTGCCAAGAATTGATTGATCTGCATCTTGCAGAAAGTGATTTGCATAATGAGAATAAGAAGAACATTTGCTTTGGTTTTAGCTGTCCAACCAAAACTTTTTGTGGCAGAACAACCTCTATGGTACATATAGTTCATAAATCCACTAAAAAGTGTTTTAGCACCAAAATCATATATCCTTGGCTCAAGGCAAAATTACCCTACTCCGCTTCCACCCAACCAACCAATGACCAGAAAAAAAGGAAAAGATATATTCCTGGAACTGGATTTTTGTTCCGACAGTTGAACTAATGAAGCAACTGCAAAACTACAGGTTGGGACATATCACTCTGCATCTGTGGTAATTAACCTGAAGCCTCCAACTCCTGGTATTGTGAGTAGGGCTATTGGTTTGGAAGGTTTTTGTAGTTTACTGGCAGGGCTTTGGGGCTCAGGGACTGGATCAACAACCTTGACAGAAAATCTGCACACTATTTCTGTAACCAAGGTTGCTAACAGAAGGGCTGTGGTATTTGGAGCACTTTTCATGATCTTCTTCTCGTTCATAGGTACAATACTTGTCTACTATTTTATTTCTTCCAAAATCCTAGGCCATTTGGTTTATTATTAGTATGATTCTTACCATGCACTAGTAGATGGTCTGTTGAATTACTTTTCCAATCGGTAAAATTCGGTTATGGTGTTTTGATGCAAAATCATGTCTTACTCTCTAAAACAACTGCTTAAATTGATAACCTTGCCATTCAAATTACATAGGATGGATGTACTAAATTGTTCAGAGTACAATGCATTTGCTATGAAGTACTTTTCAAATGTCACAAGATGACACTAGCTTTTTGACTTATGACATTTATGTTTACCTGGTTCCTGGAATAAATTATCAAGTATTATACTTGGCTGAAAAGATTTTCACTAAATTTGGCACTTCTCTCTCTCTCTCTCTCTCTAATGCTATAAAGAACCTTTAATCACCATCAGCAATGATAATTGATTGTATAACTTATTCATTTCTCAACTTGCCTTCTCAGGAAAAGTGGGTGCTATTCTTGCATCTATTCCACTTGCTTTGGCAGCTGCCATATTGTGCTTCACATGGGCTCTGATTGTGGCATTAGGTCTCTCGACGTTGCAATATACTCAGACACCTAGTTTTCGTAACATAATGATAGTTGGTGCTTCACTGTTCCTTGGCTTGTCCATTCCAGCATACGTTCAGCAATATCAGCCTGAGTCCAGCCTGATACTACCTAGCTATCTTATTCCTTATTCAGCAGCTTCTGATGGACCAGTCCACACTGGTAGTGCAGA